CCCCAAAACCCCAAAACCCCAAAACCCCAGATTTTAGAAAATTTGTGGAATTTATACTAATTTTATTAGACTAAAATGGAACAAAGTCAGTAGATAGATTAGGTTTAAGATCTTTGATAGGACTCGTTGTGTGGGCTTTTAGAGTGAGTCTTTGGCTTACTCTTGGGGAACTTTTTTAATTTGGCTTAAATTTAATATTGTGTTTGCTCTCATTCTTGTATTAGGAGGCTATTCTATGAGAAAGATGAAGTATCAGGTCAAATTCAAGAACGGAAGTAGACACGAATGTAGAAGCTCTGATGAGGAATACTGTGCTTTAGCATCAATTTTTCATTTGTACTGCCAGGCAGAAGACCTTATTGAACGCATTATCACAGTCTGAAATGACTTAGACAACAGCCATCGTACAAAATCTTCCCCCAATTCAGAGAGACGTAGAATAAATGCTCTCGAAACTGAAATCATCAAGGTATTAGTTGTTCTTGGGTTGGAGGAGAATTTAGTTGGGAGGTATTTGGATAAAATTGATAACATTTTGCTCTTGGATTTAGGATTTTTTATCTGAGGGATATGTAAATTTATGTTATCGTGAGAAGGTCACCAAAACAGATTTCTTAATAAATTATTGGATTTAGATATTATGAATAAGGGTGTTGAAGATATAGGAATATTTTATCAAGTCTTAACTCCCGGTTTTGATAGTTAAGATTATAATTACCTAATGAGATACCTAGGTTGCTGTTATACAATGAAATACAAATCATTTTAGGCTAAGATCTTACATTGAATTACCCTGCTATTAAGACAAGAATTCAGAATTCAGAAATATGTTAATATTATTAAGAAATTTCAGCACTCATCACTGAAATATATTGAAGCCCTTATTTCTCTTGCAATCTCTATTAATGCTTAAAGAGCTGGGAAGTAGAGTAAAATATAATTTATAATCAAAATAGCAATAAAATTCCGGATCGGAATAAGGCTTTAACCTTATTTTTATTCCTAAATTTCATTCAGAAATGTACAGTTTAATGCAAGTTTTGCTATACTGAGAGAGTTCTAACACTTCACTATAGGTTTTCAAGCAAATAGGGAAATACAAGCATGACAAATCGAAGCCAATTAGTTTGAAATAAGTTATATACAAGGCTACACGATGCTCTTCCCACTCATTTTAAAGATACAGGTATATGAGAACCATGGATTTTTCTTGAAAGATTTGACCAAATTCTATTCAGTTCTATTCTGAAAACAGATGAAATTACTACTCCAGCTGGAAGTGGAGAAGAAGGTACATTCCCAAGTATAGTTGGCCCTCGCCCTGTGGCTCATTTCTTTGAAATAAACTACATGCATACTCTATGTCTTCCGCATGCGGTTGTAGACTGCCCTACCTACGAAGTAAAGATCATGAAGATCAACATGTGTAACATTATCAAAGTGGTGGAACAGATGAGAAAGAAAGCAGAGCTCGATATTTCTTTAGGTAATGAGCTTACATCGAGTGTCCGTTCAACCTTTAGAGGGTCAATTAGTAGCAGCCTCTTCTTTCTTGCAAGTTGATTTTGGCAAAGTAGTGAAACATGGTCTGAAGTGATGGCCAAATGCTATATAAAATAACAACAGACCTCATGAATATTGGGAGAAAACTAGTGAATTGCTCAAAATTCCTAAATACTTAAGATTCGAACTCTTTTATGACGGGCATGATTACTTGGAAAAGATGATGGAAACCATTGGAATTGAGAGTAAATACACTCTGAAAACTCTTATATCTCCTCTTATTCCAGAATATTTTAACATTGATGAGATCTTTAATCTAGAAAATCTCGAGGACAACCAGCATCTGAAATATAGCTGCGAAGAGAGGAAGCACTCGAATCTATCCAATAGTTTAGACGGAAGCTTTACACTCTCAGATGATCTTGATGAGAGAGAGCAAAAGCCACAGATAAAGATAAAGGCAAACCTAAAGAGTTTCATAGGATTCACTACGAAGTCTCTGAGTTTGTAAGATCTTTTAAAATATTCTGCTAAAATTCTTCTCGAGGAATATTTTAGGCAATAACTAACTTTTATACAGCAGTGGAGAATCCAATCGAAGAAGATCATCTAGGAGAAAAGCAGGAGCTCAACTGATCACTCATTATATAAACTATTTTAAAAATAGTGAAGGAGAGTGGGTCGTAAATGATGACCATCATGGGTAAGATTTCCTGATTCAAACATGTAGAAATAGCGTCATTGGTTCATTTGAGGAACTCAAAAAGAGCCTTATCTCTAACTCAGTTATTCCTTTCATGGTCATGTATGAGGTAGAGAGCTGAGAGAAAGACTCTAAGCCCTCTGAAGCCTCTCGTGACCCAAGCTTACCCAAAATCGAAGAAAACAAAGAATCCTATAAAGAGCAAGGTAAATTTAAATCATTTCTGATACGATCCCAAAACCCTCAAAATTTCCTCTAGAATCGTACATTTAAATTTTTCCTCTCCCAAAGCTCTCTTCTCACATTCTGTCCCCTAACCAGCCTTCCCCATAGAAGTCCCAGTCAGCCCACATGCCTCAATAGCACCAACAGACCCTTATGCTACAACAGGTACGAACAAATTTGTACCAGAACTAGAAGAAAAATTATTTTCACGAAGAAAAATGGAGTTAAAAATTGGGAAAATTAGCTGTGAGATGGAATTTATGTGGAGATTTTTTGTGCTGAGAGTTTTTTGGGAAAAAATTAGGGGAATTTGGGGAGAAGAAGAGGAAGAGGTTTAAGGGATTTTGTGAAGAAATGGAATTTTGGGGGTTTTGGGTGGATTTTTTGGGGTTGAAGTGTAGAAATGTGGTTATTGGCAAGATAATAATAAGTCAAAAGTGATGTAGATTTAAGTAAATCAGGTGTTGAAGGGAGCTTAGAGGCATATTTGTGCAAAATTTTGTTGTCAATGTTTATGATTAGAGTAATGTAATCTTTAGGCATGAAGATTCGACGCACAGATCCACAGGATCCAAAAAATACTAATATGAATTCCAAGACAGGATCTAGCCTTATTAGAGAAGATCCAGGCAATAATACAGGGAATTGTTGATGTCTTCCTCTAGCAAAAATATTTAAATCATAAAGAGGATATGGAGGACTAGAACATTTTTGATGGACTGGTGAGATATGTGCCAACAACAAATCAAAAAGATGGGTTTGGCACAGAAATAAGATTTCCGAGTATTTTAGATGAAAATCTTTATAAAAATTATGTTTGGGGTTAAGGAAATAATATAGGTTTATTCAAAAATTAAACGTTTTTGAATCAAAACGATCTTGCAAGACGTTTCTTTTCTACCCTCGGTCATTCTTCCCATCCCCAATTCCCTACTTTCCAAAATCCTTCGTTATCCTTATACTAAACTCACAACTTTCAAGTTAGGCTCATTGACAGGGGTTTTGGGGTTTTGGGGTTTTGGGGTTTTGGGG